TCTCTCTCCCTCGCTCTCTCCCTCCCTCCCCTCCTCCTAATCTCCCCCCCCCACCTTACTGTCCACATTTCTCTCCTTCCCTTTCCTCTATAATATTAGAACCTGCCTGTCTGTCTTTCAGTTTGCCTGTCTCTTTCTCTGTCTGCCTCTCTTGCTATCTCTGAATTTTCTCGATAAATGACCGGCCACAAGAGCAGTTGTCTCCAAATTCGGTTAATTCCATTTACATAATATCATTGTTTGATGGCTTGTAAGAAAATCTCTCTAATCCATCCATCCATCCATCCATCCATCCATCCATCCATCCATCCATCCATCCATCCATCCTTCTACCTATCTATCTATCGATTAAATTAAATAACCTTTCAGTATGCATGGGGCTTTAAACTTATACAATTTCGCACATCTATCTATCTATCTATCTATCTATCTATCTATTTATCTATCTATCTATCTATCTATCTATCTAAATAACCTCTCATTATGCAAGGGGCTTTAAACTTATAGCATTTCTCACATCTATACATCTAACTATCTCTATCTATCTATCTCTCTATCTATCTATATTCCACTCCTGTCCACCTCAATATTGAGATCGGACCTCGCGTCTCGGTATTTCAACGAACCCGCAGGCAGTACGACAAACCCCAAAGAATCGCTAACAAGTCCTTATTCCCTCCATCTCTCGTAGCGCCAATTTGTTCCACAAGTTGCTCACGTATCGAGATTTCGATCCAAACCATCTGTACAGACCCACGGACCAATCTTGCCTTTCACCAGATATTCCCCTCTCACGTCTTCCTTGATAAAGAAAAACCGATACTCTTTATCCCCGTATTCCTTCTTCTTTGCTTTCCACAGCCTCGAGTCCCCCTTCTTTTTCTCCCTTCCCTCCCTTCCTCAAACCTCATATTACAACTGCGATCGCCTTCATCTCACTCTACGGTTCCTTCACAGCGGCTCTATCTCACAGTTAGTTCCCCTCATCTAATTCTCTCCCCTGTCTAACCATTCGGCGCACGCGCGCGCTCGACCAATCACATTGCCAGGTTCGCGATGACGTTCACACGGCACTGCGGCTTATCCGGCAACAGCCTGTGTGTGCCCGCTATTCAACTCATTAAAACCTACTCACTGTTTCTGGGTAGTTTCACCCGTGAGCCTATTTTCACGAAGTATTCAACGGCTAAAACCATACGGCGGCTTTAGAAAAATAGTATATATTGTTTCAAGTTGCTTTTCTTTAAAAAAATTCTCAATGGAGTAATAAAAAGTACTGGAAAAAACAATATCATTTCGGAGGACATACCCTTCAACGGAAAGAAGTGTACCCGTTTTTTGTGACACACTGACGGCTAGCAAGGTAAGAAACGATCGATTTCGACGTGTAACAACAATAAATTATGCTGCTATGTTGTTAAACTTATTAATAAATTATTTTCCTTTCTCCTGCGGTCGCCAAGATATTATCTCTCTTTATTATTAGCTACTAAATCGACAACGGTTCTCCTGTTCTGCACAGCGGTGGGCGCATTATTCAGTACGATTTCTCACCGTGTTGAATATATTAACATTAATTTACCTCACTGTCTAGAGAATCTGTTCACCAATGCTATCCACTCCCATCACATTAACGGCGTGAAAAAGTGTAATGTGAACACTTGCAAGAACAAAATTTTTATCATTTATAGCTTTTACCAGGTGTGACGTTGAATTTTATTGAATCTACTTCTATAGTTATGTCTACTTTCACTCCCCTCTTCGTTGGAGTGTTACATCTGGCAAGATGGCGGGTATAGAAATGTGTAAAGGTCGATATTATGTGTGAAGTGTGTTGTTCGAGCTGGTGTAGAAAAGTAGTATAATATGAACTGTTGGGATAGAGAGTGTGTGTGTAAGGGAGGGACTGGGATAAAGAGGGGGGATGCAGATTGGGAAAGAGAGCAGGCGTTTTTAGAATTGAAAAAAGGGGGAGAGAGGAAGATGTAGTTAGTCAAAAATAGGTGCAAACTGTTCCAAGAAGAAGAACAACTCAAAAGGATACTAATCACAGAGCGCAGATATCTTGGTCTAGTTTAGGTGTGTTAGGCCCAGCAAAACAATTTTGTTGAAAATCTTCAAAGTCAAAACTGAATAAAATTGGCACAGATGAGACTTTGATGCGGAGTGTGGAAATCCCTAGGGGTTTCCCGAATCATCTTAAACATGAGCACACGTTGTCTGTATGTGTGTATGACACACACACACACACACACAATCGTTAAAGGAAACTTCTCCGCCGCAGTTGTAACTGAATTATCAACATTTGAGAGAAGAAACAGTTCTTGGGCACTCGGCAAACGAACAGCACTGATCGGACACACAATCATGCGGACGGATAAACACACACGTAAACAATGGCGACAGAGGCCGCATTGAGACCGAATTAGGTGAGAACGTGGCAGTTTTTCCGCCAGAGGCCCACAGTTTGTTGACAGATACCGCGCCAAGATTGAGCTAATTTACTAAAGGATTTCTCATTTCTCAATTCCGCTCCCTCCCATCTGTCTGTCTGTCTGTATTCTGTCTGTCTCTCTGTCTGTCTGTCTCTCTCTCGCTCTCTCTCTCTCTCTTTTCTCTCTCTCTCTCCTCCTCCTCCCCCTCCCCCCTCCTCCTCCTCCTCCTCCAACCTCCTTTCTCTCCACTTTTTTCTCCTTCCCTTTCCTCTATGATATTCAAACATGTCTGTGAGTCTCTCTCTCTCTCTCTCTCTCTCT